CGTCACACACGCTCGAGACCGTCGGCAGACCCCACGCCGCCGCGCTCGCCACACCCACGGCCGGAAACCCCCAGCGCTCGCCCCCCCCGAGCTTGCCTTCCGGACGGACTGCGCCGCAGCTAATTAAAGCTCTTAATCAAACTCGTAATTACCTTAATTAGTCCCTTTTAAATTATTCCCAATTCCGAACTCGAGCTTGAGATGCATATGGAATGATTTAAGCAGCATTACGTCCTCCGATTTTCCTGTTTTTATGCTGCTTAAAAGGCAGGAAAAATAGATGCCGGCTTCCTTGTCACGGGAGAGCGAGGGTGAGACCTGTGTTTTGCTGGGGAGGGGCCCGGAGGAGCAGGCATTCCGCCGCCATTCCCTACCTGCACCCACCACCCCCCAAACCACGGGAAACCGCCACTAATGCTAATACTTTCCATGCCGTCCTTGTGGTTCCCCCCGCTTGTAAAATCCCTGAGAAGGGAACTGTTCTCCTCATTCTGCAGTAATTGTTGTGATTATTTCGGTGAGTAAGAGCACCTCTGCAGTTCCTCCAGCCTGCGAGTGCCAGCTGTCCCGCCACGAGCACCGCAAGGCCTCCCGACGGTATCCCGCCATCTTAATCCTCCCCATGATGCTTCTCAGGAATGACTCACTTGCCGACCCCCAAGGCATGATCAATCAATCCATTTTCCAGACATGAACTGGCTGCGGCATGCTGTGCTGGTACTGGGGGGGCCGACACCCAGGGTTATAAAGGAGACACCAAGGTGCAGGAGCAAATCCCCCACAATCCCATTGCACACTGGGCAGCAAACATTAAGTCGGTGTGATGGGGGGGGGCATCATTTATCTTCACCCCCAACTCTCAGACACGACGGTACCAGCTGGACCAACCAGCAGGGGGATGGGCTGGCTTGGGGCGGCCTGCGCGGGGGAGCGTCTGCTCATGGTCCTCCGACGAGCAGGGATGCGTCTCTGCCCGCCCCCCCATGCCCCCTCCCGAAACGGAGGAGCCGGAGGGCTCGTCCACGGCCTGCTTTCATAAAGACAGCTGCCGTCACCTGCCTCTGCAGACATACCCATGCTCTGGCTTAACCGAATGAAAACCACTCATTAATCTTCTTCCTGGTCAAATCCGCCCCCCCCAAAAAAAACGGGCTGGAGACCTGGCAGCTGGCTCTCTGCACCTCAGGCTCTGCTGCCCACCCGCGTGCGGCCGAGTGGTTATTTGTCCTGAGGAGGAACAGGCAGGTCTGGCTGTTGCGTTGTGGGTTGGGGGGGGCTCTAGCCGTCTGTTCCACGCGAGGCCTGGCCCAGGAGGGCTGCTCACTCATGCTCATTAGAACGTAGGAAAGTGGGGGACATGCTTTGGTGATTCCAGCATGGCAAGCCTTGTGTTTGCCCCAAGTCACCCCCCCCCCCCCACATGGCTCAGCCTAATCACTGCGTCTGACTGCACACTCAAGGTCAGTACACAGCAAGGCCTAGACACACACGGTACTCCGTGTTGACAGGGAATTGACCCTACCATCCATACCCAAATCTATGCCTTTGGTACACGGCTCCCCTAAGGACATGCTGGAACAGCACAGGAATGGAATTTATCTCCCAGAACTCCTAGGGTCTTGAAGCAAGCACATGAAGGGCTTTGATCCCCTAAGATGACGATCCTTCAGGGACACACTGTGGACCCATGCATCCAGGGTCGTGGGTTTGATTCCCACCTCTGGTTCTCTGGAGAGCTGCTTAATCTAGATACCTTTAGTGTGTTTGCCCTGCAACTGACTGCTACCCCATCTAGGCTTCCTAGGAATAGGCTTCCTGTGCTGGGCAACTGCTTATGGAGGATGGATGGATGGATGGATGGATGATTAAATTTGAAAGAGCTACTGAAACGGCCCCCTAGGGACATCTGGCTAAACTGCTATTCTTGAGCTCAGACCTCTGCTACCCTCACTGTGAACTGCCAATTGGCCATCTTGACCAGAGTGGCAGAGTAGAAACAGTTACTGCACCATCGACTTTAATTTGGTCAGGAATTTACAACTGACTGCTGAAAACGGGCCTTGTTGACCTGGGGGTGAGTGGGGGCTCCAGGCCTTGGGAGTTTGGCAGTAAGCACTATGTCACTCAACTGCCCAACGGTGAGCGCTCCCTCCCCCCCCCCCCCCCCGGCTGTAGAGCCATAAGAGGGGGAACACATGCAGGTCCTGCCTTCTGCTTCCCAGTTTCATTTTGATATAAGCTTGGACGCAGCCCACGGTGCCTGAGGAGGAGTGAAAAAGGGAAGAAGGAAGGAAGGGAAGAGAAGCAGAAACACACAGACGCCAAGGTTAAAGCACGAGTGCCTCGCCGTGCATCAAAGCACCGACCGCATCCACACATTCAGATGAAAGAGTGCTAGAAACCCCCCCCACACTGCATGCTTAAAGGAATTAAAATGTAAAGTTATTAGGAACATCACCCATTTCATGCTTTTAATCTCAGGTTACTATTCCATAAACGTTCCACTATTTTGTATAATGTAATCAGATATGCTAACCCTAAATAAAAGTGTTTTCTAGTTAAACAAATACGATGGGGCAGATTTAAGGGATGCTTAACTCTTCAGCAGGAAGGCGTGTTAAAATGCATCATGAGCAGATTAGTCAAAAGAACAAAAAAATCATCTTGAGGGACTTTTCAGGTCTCATCTTGTCCCAGGAGAAATCATTTAACGGACACGGACGTCGAGGCCACCTGAATGTTAATGCGCCTCCGTCTTCATTAATGGCGGAGCTGGTGTGGATCCCCTCGCAAAGGCTCGCGCATTCGGAGCTCCGAGCGCCGGGCAAATCCTCTTTGCCTTCACTTGTCGCCCCCTTGCCTGTTTGATCCCTGACCTGTCAAACCCGGGATTTTCACGGAAGCGTTTGAGGATTAATTGCCCTGCGATTCTGCACATATCACTGCGTCTGTACATGGCTGCATGTGAGCATGAGCGTGTGATCCTAAGCCCCCTCTATCACTGCATGACATGCATTTGTGAGAATATACTCATATACTGGCAGTTCTGTATATATGCTGCTCCCTCTCTCTCTCTGTGAGAGTCTTAAAGGCATGTTTGAAGGGAGTAATGCATCACTGACAGAAAATATATATGTTTCTGCGTGAAAGGCAGAGCCACATAAGACCGTGTGAGAGGAAAATAAGACTATGAACTGAAATAAGGGAGACATTGCAGAAAATCAGAAGTAGTGCCTTTACTGAAACAGGTGCTTCCACACAGGGATGATAACTGAGCTAATTAAGCAATTAACATCCCATCATGCTTAGGGTCATGTATAAAAATGCTTTTGGCTACGGCACCTAGAATAAGGGATCTCATGGGGTGGGGGGGGGGCAGATTTTTGGGGGGCAGGTTTGGCAGTAGCGTCGGTGACGACTCAGCTTGAGTTCAGGTACCGTAGTTACGCCGATGTTGGCAGGGAAGTCATCATCAGGAATGACATCATCAGCAAGAAGGAAGCATGAACGAAAGCACATGTTCTCCCACTCTGATATCAATCTACATGTCAGTCTAAGCCATGAGCTCTCCACACTTCTGGAGAACTGAAGACCAAGGGAATCTATAGTCTGGCTGCAGGACATATAAATGTATGGCACATGTGTGGCACACACCAAAGAAATGCCCACACACCACAGAAATACCCACACTCCAGAGCTTATCCCCCACGGTGAGAAGTTCTGGCAGCCCCATCATAGTGAGGACTGCATTTCCTGGGTTCTGATCCACTGAACTCTTCAAAAGACAAGGTCCATGCCAACAAACACAAAGGCATTCTGAGTGATCTCCCTCATCCCACAGTCCTGGTGTGACTGGAATGTCCCCGCTCTCCAGACATGGCTGGTCCCCGAGCCGTTCGATGTGCGTGAAAACGATGTGAACCATATGCCATAGCTGCCCCGCTTATGGAAAAGCCTGGAACGGAGCCTGAGGCAGCGTTTTCCGCGATCCTTGACGAAACATGGCACCTCTCCATCATTTCCAGTTTTTTTCTTTTTTTTTTTCTTCCAGTGGAGTTCCAGGCATTTGTGGGATCTATGCCAAGACACATCGGCACTCTTCTGGTGGTGGCCTAACAAGGATTTAAGGCGTTTTAGCCTTCTCTTAGTTTGGAGGTTACTTACAGCATGTGGGAACGTAGACTGTATGCGCTGCATGATCTCTCTGGGACTGAGACAAAGACACAGTGGGCAGCCCCCTTACAGAAAAGAAACAAGCTTTGTTAGTGGTTCAGCTCTTTATATGTTTTAGTGGATTGGGGTTAGTTGCCATTAATTACAGTAAAATATAAGTCACTGGAAAGTCCCCGACGTTCAGCCATACATAATGTGTATGTGTATGACAGTGTGAGACTATGTCCATGGCTGACTCTCATAGTGTGGTATTGATTACAGAGTGAGAGTAATAATTGGACTGGTCTATGGGCTGTCATGTTTTGTCTGATGGGAGGGTTGTTATCAAGTTCACTATTATCAGCCTTCATATCTCTCCATCCCTCTCTTTTATCTACATGTCTCCCCTCGTCCTTCTCCTTCTCTCACCATCTTACTCAAGCATCTGCTTTCATCTTCGGCCTGCTATCTGTACATCTACAGATCCGTCTTGTCAGTGGTGTCTTATTATCCATTTGTTGCTCAGGAAAGCTAAGCCTCCCCGCTATTGTGCGTATTCGCAGAATATAATGTGCATATCGATTCCTGCTCTACGTGGAGAGAAAAAAAACAGAAGGCACTAAGAGAGAGAGGCCAGGGGAAAAAAGAGACAGGAAAAACAGGGATGGAAAAGTGGAGCACACGGACAAATACAGAAAAGAACGTAGGCTACTTGATGATGGCAAAAAATGAGGGTTTTTATGGGGGGCAGAGGGCGACGCACTGCAGAACACTGGCGACCCCATCCGACAGACCCGATAAATACACCACAGTTTAGGCCTGAGAAAGAAATGTAACATTTCCCGATTTCCCAGCTTTCCGGCAGTAGCCCCCTTTTGCAAACTTCGTCTTCCGTACGTAGCGATCGTGCAAGAACAGAACGAGTATTAAAAGAACAAGGCATCCAATTACATCCCGGCTAGCGGTACCCTGCGTTACAGCAACGCTAAATCCGCACCGGTGCCGCCGTAATCCGCGGACGAACGGCGTGCAGACGCCGGGTGGGGGATCGGACTGAGAGGTGGAGCAAACGGTGGGTCTTCCGCTGCCACGTCTGACTCTCTCGAAAGCTCACAAGCCCCGGCGTAGGGAGATATATGGACGAAGTATTCTAGTGACGTGTAATCGTTGGACGGCTATTGAACTCGGTCCTGCGTCGTAAAATGTTAGTACTTTAAGAACTATCCAAGTCCGAAATTTTGGGTAATGATTTGTAAGGGATTACGGCTTGATAGACTTCCGCAAAAGTTTTCATTCTGCACTGAAGACAGATTGCATTGTTTGGTCGGACTTATTCCAGCCTAATTTGTATATTAATGAAATCATTTTATAATGAATAGGAAACTGAAGCGAATGTCTTCTTTAAACGTGTACTGTGGGCACGTCCGTACTCTCTAGGGTCGATCTGCACTGATGCTTCGCTTGGAATATACAATATACTCCTGGGGGAAAATACCGATCCAGTGAAACTGTAATTGATGCCATATTTCTCTAAAACCTTGGCATGAAATCAATAAATTATGACCTACACATCGCGTGTCTCCCTGAACAAACAGTAGATTGCTCTCCTGCCATCATAACTAATGGAGTCTGTGCCTGGCATTGGACGTAAATAAAGCAGATAAATGCTGAGTGTGTAATAAACCTCCATTCTGGTATCTTGTTGCTGCTGAGGATGATGCTATAAACTCACCACGTCAGAAGTAATGTAATTCACTTGATTTTGTCAATGGGTAAATGTTTAAGTGAATTACACCAGGTCCAGGTTAACGTGGATTCTGGTTTGGGATTGTGTATTAGTCTGTAATTGATCTGATACTCAGCTACTTTTTAACACCCTCCTCATGCATTTGAAAGGGTCGGCGAGCTCCCCTTAACCTCCCTCCTCTCCCTGTACCTCCCTGCAGCTGCCCCACCATGTCTCCTGCCGTGTCCCTTCTCCTGCTTTGTTTGCTGGGGCTGCTGCTTCCTCTGCCCAGGCTTGTCACCCCCGAAGACCTTGGAAAGCCTGGCACCGGGCCGCCGGTCTGTGTCACCATGCAGGGGCCAAGCTGGAGCCTCGGACTGCGCCTGTACCGGACCCTTCGCACCGGCGGCACCCACAACCCCCTCTTCTCCCCTGTTCTGCTTGCCAGCTCACTGGCAGCCTTGGGCAGGGGTGCGGGGACACACACCGCAGCACAGATCTTTGAGGTCCTAGGCACCGGCACACCACCCCCTTTGAGCCAGGAGGAGGCGCTGTCCTCCCTGTATGGAGCCAATGGGACCAGCTTCAGGCTGCACAGTGCGTCAGCCGTGTTCACCGGGCTACCGGCAATCCTGGATGCCAGCTTCCTGAAGGAGGCACAGACACGGTCGCGGCTGGGGCACGCGGATCTGCGCTGGACGGGGGGGCGGCCCGACCCCGAGGCGCTGCACGCCTGGGCCAGGGCGGTGGCGGGTGGCAGCGAGGTGGCACAGCTCAGCAGGGAGCTGCAGGCCAAAGAGGCAGCTTTAATCCTCACAGACGCCCTGCGCTTTAAAGCTGAGGGGGGGTCATGTGACCTGGCAGCGTTCTGCAGAAGGGCCAGTACGCGCCTCCTTAAGTCAGCTGGCACTTGTCTAGGGGGGATTCTGGACAAGATGGCTTCCTGAAGTGACATGTATTCCTGGATGCCTGGGGCCTTGCCGCAGGGCACAGGAAGGTCTTCCCCATCACCATGTCCTCCTGTTGGCTGTAACGGGGGTAGGGAACACCAGGGAAGCTCCCCGAAGGGCATGAATCCCAGAGGACCGTGGTCTCCTGGGCTCCGTGGCAGGTTACTGCCCGCTAAGGCAGGCCAGGGACAGGCTTATTTGAGAGAGCCAATCAGAAAAGGGCTGAGAGCCTGCAGATTTGGGCAAGGCCCCCCGCTGCTGACTGCGGGCTATTTTCTGCCCATGAAATTGGATATTTTTCCATGGTTTTGGGGGAATGGCCGCCAGACTCATGAATGTGTGGCATTATGAATGAAATTCTGTTTTAAATAGAAATAAACAACGCTGATAATAATAATACCGCATGAGCTGCCAGTTTCCCATCTTGCCAGGTTCCCCGGGATGGAGCCCGTATCGCACCTGTCAGCACTGGGGGGCCCCTGGCTCCTCACCAAACCCAGGGGAGAAGCCCCCATTTTCCTGGTTTTGTTCAGTCGCCTTCCATGGCTTCCAGTCCGCCATCGCCGGGCAAATTAAAAACACCTCAGCGTCTCCTGAAGCTCTGTTCAGCAGCCAGGGCTGGCAGGGAAGAAGCAGGCAGGAGTGACTGGCGGGGGGGGGGGCTGTAGAGGCAGTAAGAGGGGTGGCAGGGGGGCGGGGAGTTTCCTGTGACTTCTGTGGCTGTTACAATGTTATCATATGTTGGAGGCCTGGATTCAGATGAGATGCAAATGAGGTTTTTCTCCTAATTCATCTATGGTAATGATAATATATCTATGGTAATGATAATATATCTATGGTAATGAAGTTACATGGCACAATGAGCAACAGCAAAAAAAAAAAACCACAGTATTGGTCTTGATTAAAGCAGAGACTGTAACTGCTCCCGGTGCTGTAATGTGGGGTCACGCGTACTTACCGTCATACTGGGGGGGGGCTGTTACTCCACATCTCCAAGGCTGGGGTTCAAATCTCAACCCATGTGTTTGCCATGTCCTCCCATGCTGTGGCGGCCTCTTCCAGCTAGGTGGCGTGCCATCTCTAAATCGCCCATGGTGTGATTGTGTGTGCAATAGTGTGACTGATTGAAAGGTTGTGTGAGATTGTGTGTTTTGTGTGAGTGTGTGTTTGTGATTTTGCGAGAGTGTGTGTGCGTTTATGTAAGTGGGATTATGTGAGATTGATTGAAATTGATTGTGTGGGTGATTGTGATTGTTGTGTGACATTGTGTGAGTGTTTGTGGTTGTGTGAGATTGTATGTGATTGTGTGTTGGTTATTGTGGATGATTGTGTGTGATTGTGTGTTGGTTATTGTGTGCGTGATAGTGTTGTTGTTTGACTGATTGTGTGATCGTGTGAGTGTGATTGTGTGTGACTGTTTGTGACTGTGTGTGTGTGAGTGTGAGATTGTTTGTGTACCCTGTGATAGACTGACACCTCCACCCCTGCTTCCTAGGACAGGTACCGCAACCATGCACTGCATAGGTAGGCATGGAAGGTGGATGGGCACCCTATGCATGTAATGTCCAATATCTCACATATAATGTTTTTTGCGAATGTGAATTTTGCAGAATATGCATGTGAACCGTAATTGGCTGGTGATGCGAATGCTGTGGGGATGCCATTGTATGCTTAGCAATTTGTCAGATACGCACTAAAATCTGCATTTAAATGACAAGCTGCTGGCCCTTTTTTGATCGGTTAGTTCCGGGTTCTAATGGCGAGGGGCGGCGGTCAGCAGGAGGCGGCCCAGCACGCAGACCCCCGGGGTCACTCCCCTGCTGCGCCCCAGCGGGACAGGAGAGCGCCATTTTTAACCTCCGCTCATGATAAAAAATTAAAAGGCCTGGAACTCCTCCAGCCAGACGCGCTTTCCATTATGGGGGGTGGGGGGCGCTCTCTATTTATATCGACTGTGGCAATGTGGAGGGGGGGGGGAGGTCACTCTAGTGCAGCAAACGTTAACTTATGAGCGTAATTGCAACTGACAGTCCGGCCCGTCGCCATACATGGTGTCACGTTAGCGCCGCCACGCCAACAAGGGTCGCGATTAAGCGGGCAAACGTCAGAGAGAGAGAAGATTAAAGAGGAATGGGGGGGGGGGGGTGTTCTGTTGGATATGCTGAGGTCATAATCAAGGCAAAGCAGGTGATGAGGCCGCAAACACTGTGACGTCTCGTCCAGCTTCGTTTGGACAGTGCTGCCACGCTACGGATACGTGCTGATGGGGACTGCAGGAGTGGGGGGGGGGGTCAGGGAAGGAGACAGTGAGGGATGATGGTGACACAGACGGCCAGAGGGCAGCCGGGAGACAGAAACAGAGTGTATGAGGTAGACAGTGAGGAAGGGAGGATTCATGGGTACACAGGAAGTACATTAGGGCGGGGGTGCTGCTGCGGGGGTGCGGCGGTCGGGCCGAGGACATGAGGCGTCACGGACGCCTCGCTGAATCTGTCTCTGATCTGCACATCTGCACCCAGCCCCCTGCTGTAGAACCTTAAACAAAGTTTTCATCCCCCCCCACCTTGACTGTTTTTCCGTGTTATCCGTGTCCGGAAAAGTTTGCAGGAGCTGCTGTCTGTGGCCTGGTGAGAGCGAGAGCAGCGAGGCGGTGCGGCGTGGCTGATGGACGCCGGCTGCAGGCGGCACGCTCTGCCCCCCCAGGCCCACGCGTGCGGCTCCTAGTGGCCGGGGGGCGGCAGTCATGCTGTAGCTAAATTAGGCTGGAGTAACAAAGCAGAGCCATTCAGAGTAACTTTAACTCCGATGGCTTTACTGCTCTGAGACAAAAAGAAAATTGCAGTCTTGTGTACAAAATGAAAATGTCAGACACACTGAAAACGAATTACATGAAAATACACAAATTCTGTCTTGATGGTCCTCATTAGTTTTCTGAATTCCATTTTTCGCTATCCAAACCTTGGAAAAAATCCGCTTTACCTGATATTTAGTGAATGTAAGAATTTGGTTATTTTTTTCTATTATGCGAGACTGGGAGGGTTTCACTGGAGGAGGACGCCTGTGTTGGGTTGCTTTGACCGTGCCGCAGTCTGAGTCACCGTCCCCATTTTCTGCCCAGAAACACCTGACTGCGCTGGGTCTGACCGAGGCCTGGGATGAGCGGAAGGCCGACTTCTCCGGGGCGGCGGGCCAGGCGCTGGGGCAGGGGCGGCCTCACCTGGGTGCCGTCCTGCACTGGGCCTCCCTGGAGCTGAGCCCCGAGGCAGGTTCGGGGGACGGAGAGGTGCAGGACGAGGACGTGACCAAGCCGAAGCTGTTCTATGCAGACCACCCGTTCGTTGTCATGGTGAAGGATAACACCACAGGGGCGTTACTGCTAATGGGGGCCCTCGACCATGTGGGGGGGTCCGCCGTACACGACGAGCTCTAGACATCCCACCCCCCCTGCATGTCCTGCCTCTAATGGAGACTGAGTGATGTCGATAAAGGTTTCATGCAAAATGATTGTGTCACGTGGCCCCTCCCCAGACACCAGGGGGACAGAGGATAGGGGCTCCCTGCCGACGGCGCATGTTTGATATGAATTAATGGGACGTTTGTATGGCGTGGACAGGCATCCTCACGGCAGTGCTGATGCTTTACGAATAAGCCGAGCACATCGTTACTGAAGGAGCTTCCCTGCCCTGATAAATAGTCACGGCCTGTGACCCTGTGCTCTCTACTGGTAGGTTATTGATGGGAATGTGTATTATTCCCGTATTATTGTGTATTAATGACCCGCATCGCCTGCCGACATTGTAGCCTGTCTGCAGTCCCCCCTTTCCCTCCTTAATCTCGACGAGAAGCAAGGGGGCTGTCAGCAATCAGCGCGGCGTTCCTGCTCCACGCCACGGCCAATCACGAGCCATTGTTCTGTGTCCTTAGCTGTTTCTCGAGAGCCGTTGGTGAATGCCGCCCAGGCGTCAGGCCACAGCCGGCGATGGAGAAGACAATCCTGCAGCTGATTACTGTGAAATAAACTAATAACAGCTTAGATGGGGGGGTGGGGGGGCAGCTCTTATCTAGTGAGTTACTTGGAGTCTGACTGATATTTTAATTTTATGGAGCAAACCTGCAAAAACTGTTTTTTTCCTCTATACATCTTTATCCTGCCCAAACTACAAATAGACTAGAATTTAATTGTACTGATATTTGGAACACTGGAATTCTGAATAAAATGGTGTTGGAATATCCCATGTGTGCTGTTCTGAGGTCAACAAAAGGCTATGGATGGATATAATATTCATTCTAGATGGAGAAAAAAACTAGAAGATTATGTGATGGAAGAAGCTTTTTTTATTTGAGACAGGTTCTTTTTGATGTTACAGGGAAAAGACAAGAAAGGAGTTAAGACAGTAGCTAATAAAGAAAAAGTATATATATATATATATATACACACACACACACACAGTGGTACCTTGGTTCTCGAACTTAATCCGTTCCGGACTCCGGATCGAAACCTAAAAAGTTCGATTTCTGATCGAATTTTTCCTATAAGAAATAATGGAAAACCAATTAATTGGTTCCCGGCCCCCCAAAATTACACCTAAATATGTTTTTTTTTTCTTCTTCCAGCATTTAAACAGAAAATGAACAGGATAAGACAAAAAGAGCATTTTTTTCTTAATGGCTTCCAAAACGATAAAGATCTTATCCCAACATTACCCCTGTCCTGCTCCTGCCCCGATCATCCGCTCCTTCCGTGTGCCACGCCCCCTCGTTAACCTCGTGTGGGATCCCCATGTGATCAGCAGTTTCTGGTTGTTGTCATTAGTCCTCTGTATTAAGTCCGCGTTTCAGTTTGTTTCCCCAGTCCGGTCATTGGGTGCGTTCGACTTGCTTACAGTGCTGGCTTAAAGCAACGCATTCTGATCCTGACGCAATGCATTACGATTAGATACATTGCGACTTCTCACCCGGCTGCACAAACTGGAACCACCTCCGTGACGACACATCTTTGCCCTTATTGGCTGAAGAGTTTAGTTACACGCATGACGTTTGTATCCCAGGCAGTTCTGATGCGTAATCTGCTATTTCTCCCGAATATCACGTAAACCAGTGAGAACATAAATGCTCTAATAGTACACGTAAGTTAGTGGTTTATTTATTGTTAGTTACTGTAGTGTTGCGCTGCTTTATTTGGTTAATCGTCCAGTCTGTGAAGAAGGCATTCAAGTAAGAATTGCATTGTAGTATGACTCATTTCCTGGCGCGTACAATTTATATTAGGTCAGCGTTCACGGTTGGACTTCTGATATTCAGATAGAGTTCTAGGTCAAACTGGTTTGTTCGACTTTCAAGAAATTCAAGTTCTAGTGAGTTTGAGAACTGAGGTACCACTGTATGTATGTATATACAGTGTATGTATATATATATATATACACACACACACTATATGGACAAATGTATTGGGACGCACCTCCTACTCATTGAATTCAGGTGTTTCATTTAGACCCATTCCCACTGGCGTATAAAATCAATCACATAGCCATGCAGTCAGGTTTACAAACATTTGTGAAAGAATAGGTCATTTTGAAGAGCTCAGTGAATTTAAGCGTGGTACAATCATAGGATGCCACCTTTTCAATAAGTAAGTTCATGAAATTTTTCCCTGTTAGATATTCAACATTCAATTAAGTGCTATTAAGCATATAAGAACAACAGAAACTCAGCCAATAGGTGACAGACCGTATAAGATTCAGGGCAGTGTCTCCGAGTGCTGAGGCACATATTGTGCAAAAGTCACCAACACTTTGTTGATTCAATAACTGCAGAGTTCCAAAATTCCGCTGGCATTAACCCCAGCACAAAAACTGTTCTGGTAGCTTCATGGAATGGGCTTCCATGGCCGAGCAGCTGCATGCAAGCCTCACATCACCAAGCGCAATGCCAAGCGTCAGATGGAGCGGTGTAAAGCATGCCGACACTGGAGTCTGGAGCAGTGGAAATGTGTTCTGTGGAGTGACGAATCATGCTTCTCTGTCAAGCAGTCTGCTGAATGAATCTGGGTTTGGCAGATGCCAGCAGAACGTTACCTGCCTGACTGCACTGTGCCAATGGTATAGCTTGGTGGAGGAGGGGTAATGGTATGGGGTTGTTTTTCAGGGGTTGGGCTAGGCCCCTTAGTTCCAGTGAAGAGAACCATTAAGGCTTCAGCATACCAAGACATTTCGGACAATTTTATGCTTCTAAATTTGTGGGAACCGTTTGGGGAAGGCCCTTTTCTGTTACAGCATGACTGGTCCAGTGCTCAAAGCACGGTCCATAGAGACCTGATTGGGTGAGTTTGATGTGGAAGAACTTGCACCCACAGAGCCCTGACTTCAACCCCATCGAACATCTTTGGGATGAACTAAAACGGAGATTGCGAGCTGGGCCTTCATGTCCAACATTAGTGCCTGACCTCACAAATGCTCTTCTGAATGAATGGGCAAAATTCCCACAGACACACTCCAAAATCTTCTGGAAACCCTTCCCCGAAGAGTGGCAGCTATTTTAGCTGCAAAGGTGGGTCAACTCCATATTGTTGCCTATGGATTTAGAATGGGATGTCATAAAAGTTCCTTAGTGTGATGGTCAGGTATCCCGATACTTTTGTCCATATAGTCCATATAGATATACGCCAATCAGCTGTAATGTAAACCACCTGCCTAATATTGTGTATGTCCCCCTCGTGCTGCCAAAACAGCTCACACCCGTTGAGGCATGGACTCCACAAGACCTCTGAAGGTGCTCTGTTGTGTCTGGCACCAAGATGTCAGCAGCAGATCCTGTAAGTCCTGTAAGTTGCGAGATGGGGCCTCCATGGATCGGACTTGTTTGTCCAGCACATCCTACAGATGCTTGATCAGATTGAGATCTATGGAATTTGGGGGCCAAGAGAACACCTTGAACTCTTTTTCACGTTTGTTTCTCAAACCATTCCTGAATAATTTTTGCAGTGTGACAGGGTGCATTATCCTGCTGAAAGATGCCACTGCCATCAGGGAATACTGTTGCCATGAAGGGGTGTACTTAGTTTGCAGCAATGTTTAGGTAGGTGGTACGTGTCAAAGTAACATCCACATAATACCAGGACCCGATATTTCTCAGCAGAACATTGCTCAGAGTATCACACTGTCTCTGCCAGCTATCCTTCTTCTCATAGTGCATTCTGGTGCCATCTCTTCCCCAGGTAAACAACACACATGCACCCATCTGCCCACATGATGTAACAGAAAACATGACTCATCAGACCAGGCCACCTTCTTCCAATGCTCCATGGTCCAGTTCTGATGCTCACATACACACTTTCTGCAGTGGACAGGGGTCAGCATCGACACTGTGACTGGTATACAGCTGCATAGCCCGGCAGGTATGAGTCCACTTTGAGAAAAGCCGCATTCATGAGGCTGTAAGTCACCTTCATATCAAATCCACTGTCCCTTATCATGGTATTCTTATTTTATAAACCAAGATTTTCAAAATATAGATAGCAGGACTTATCACACATTCTTCACTGAACAATAATGGCTTACTGGGGGCTATACCCTTTTGCCAAGCTGTGATGCACTGTGTGTTCTGACAACTTTCTATCATAACCAACATTAATGTTTTTAGCAATCTGTGCTACAGTAGCTCTCCTGTGGAATCAGACCAGATGGGCTAGCCTTCGATCCCCACACACATCAGTGAGCTTTGGCCGCTCATGACCCCGTTGCCGGTTCACTGCTTGACCTTCCTTAGATCATTTTTGGTACTGACCACTGCATACCCGGAACACCCCACAAGGCCTGCCATAATGGAGATACTCTGACCCAGCCGTCTAGCCATCACAATTTGGCCCTTGTCAAAGTCACTCAGTTCCTTACACTTGCCCATTTTCCTGCCTTCAACACATCAGCTTCAAGAGCTGACTGTTCACTTGCCTAATATATAATAGAACCCTTGACAGGTGCCATTGTAACAAGATAATCAATGTTATTTACTTCACCTGTCAGTGATTTTAATGTTATGACTGATCAATGTGAGGGGAAACAACTCTATAAAGTAAAATTAAAATAGAGAAACTCTGAAGACTGTCCAAATCTGTTATTCTGGAGGCTTGTGTCCATTTAACATATGATCCCTTACATTTGTTTGTAACTAGTGCTGAAAATGTGATGCTGAAATTAATCTTGTTTTTATTCTGGAACCACCATTTGTCATCTGGACTCTGGACGTAACTCAGTGTGGCAAACAGCACATTTGTTTGGGGAACAGATCAATACAGGTAATCACAAAATGTCCGACACTCCAGTGTCCAATGTATAAAGAGATTGAGGTCTCATAAGCCGCAGTGATAGATGTCTTCCACCCATTTGCTTGTCACTGATTGAGTCATGCTAAACCTAGTTACTTCATATATTTTTACTGACATGGCTAGGCTAACAAAATTAGTAGTTTTTTTAATTAGTATAACAGTTTAATAATTGCTCCATTGAACACCACCAAAGATCATCTTGTGGATTTTGTGCAGGTAATCGAAGAGTTTTGTCAAACATTATTATTATTATTATTATTATTATTATTATTGATGATAATAAACATAATAAAGAAGGTGGAACCCTTTAGCAGTCAAGACGATCAGAAATAGGAGAGCTTTGTTCTCTGAAGGGTCTTTATCTTAGCACCTTTGTATTTTCTGTTGCAGATCATTGAAATTTGGATTTGGACACGATTTCTCTGCTAAATCATCCGTCATTTTGAAATCGTGCAGGGAGGCTGGCTGCGTGACGTGCAGTGCATATCGATCGCATGTCAGCGTTCCGTTGTCATGGGGATGTGGGGGGAAAAAAACCCTCAGAAAGAGATCCCAGTGACACCTGATCGTCTTTCATCATTTTATAATTATGGTTCTCGTGTTGGCAGCGCATTACCTGCAAGTCGGACAATACACCTAGTCCCTGTCATGATGTAAACAGATTGCTTGTGTGAATGATGCTGGCCCTCAGGGAGGGAGAGATTTCTGCTTCCTCTGCATGTCAGACATTAATTATGTGATTTAAATCAAAAACTTGAAATCAATGCCTTGGAGTGCTAGGAATTGGGCCCCCGGCCCTCCAAGACCCCCCTGGCTTCTGACTGTAAATTCCTCACAGAGTTATTGCATGCTTGAGGGTGGTATAACAGGAGGAAATCTCCCCCCTCACCCTCTGCCAATGAATTATTAAGAAATAAAATGTACAACTGAAAAAAGAATCGGTCTGCGCCATTAATCTTAAAAAAGAAAAAGTGTCCCTGTGTAGACATGTTTTATTAAAAAGGTTTCAGGGTTTTCTTCTTTCTGATGAAGCTGCAGTCCTTTACACATGCTGTTTTTTTTTTTTGGTGTCGTTATTAGTCCTGAAGGGCAGACACATTTAGCAATGAAAGAAAGCTTGTCTCTTGGAGAAAATGGGAGTAAGCTATACATATCTGTAAAGAAATATGGAGTCATCAGGCAATCACACAGCCAGGAAGAGCAGCAATTCTGCATTGTGTCGTCATATAGAAATTTTGCTCAGACGTGGAGTACCACAATAGCCATGATGTAACTGCCTTACCACAGTTCAAGTTTCTCCTTCATATGGTCTGTTAAAGGGTTTTGTTTGTGTATTGATTAAAAGCTCAAGGCACTGTTAGCATAGACAAGCCCGGAATTTTCATACATATCAGCCCCATGTGAATGATGGAAAAGCATTATGTGGGAATGGACAGTAGCTGAACGCATGCTGTTTTCACTGTGGCGATTCCATTGGGAGGGTTTCATATTTAACCTCTCACTTCACACCGGTAACATATATGGGCTCCAACAAGTAGATTTAATTACTACTGGAGATGACATGGAATGCCTCAATATAAAACAAAATGTCAATCTATAATTCAAGCTTGCATGACTACATGCAATGCAATACATACATACATACATTTATCCTTAACCTATCAAATCAGTTAATTTGATATGTAGGGGTAATCCAGGCTTGCAGTTATTTTCTGTGGAGGGCCAAATCTTAGACTGACCATATCGGTAGGGGCATTTTTTTAATGATTATTTTTCATGCCAGGAAAATTACAATAATACATTTTACATTTATATTTTTCTGGATATATTCCAGAAATCAGTAGAACCAGTGAGTTTTAAAACGTTTTAAACTTAATCAATGTGGATATTATTAATTAAAAGTAAATATATATATCGACTTTATTAGGCAGTAAAATAGCCATGAGACACATCTTTATCCCACGTCTGGTCTATTCCTTTTAAACATAATATCAAAAAATGAACAAATCAATACATTCGCACTCTCGTAAATTGGTCCTGTTACACAAATACACAATTTGCATTAACGTCTTTTTAAAACTGCACATATACATAAAATTGTACAAAGCAACCCCTCATACTGCCCAGTTTTTAGAAACTTGTTCGGCAGAGGAAGTCCGTACCACGTGATCACCGATCATTCCCGATTAGCACCGAGCAGCCAATGCCTAGTTTCGTTATCTGGTTTCTATGGTGACGTTTTTAAAACCAGCAACAAGCGCGAGGACCCCGTTCGGGCGTCTGAAAGCCTCGGTCTTTTATTCCGGTATTTTCTCGGGTTGACTCTGACTGAAATAGTGAATGAATAACCTTTGATTTCGAACAAAAAGGTTGGTGGTGAATGTCTCATTTTTTTGTTTTCTGAGTAGCTGTTAATCAATGAAAATGCTGTCTGTAATACTAACCGGAAATCTAGTCAGAATACTGTATATACTATGTAAACCCTGTCAGAATATATACGATATATAGTAACATGTAAGTTACTAGGAGACGAGTAACATACGTCGTTAGTTATATGAAGTATTTGGTATATAATCGTGTAAGGATCTGTATAACTTGCAAACAGTAACGTATAGTATAACATGCAATTTGAATATGGTCATCTATAAAGTTTGACTACATACTTTATATACACTCATTGAGCACTTTAAGAAAACCTGTACATCGGCTTATTCGTGCAATTACCAATCAGTCAGTCATGTGGCGGTACCGCAATGCATAAAATCATACAGATTCAGGTCAGGAGTTTCAGTTAATGTTAAAATGCCAGAATGGGGGGAAGATTAGTGATCTGACCATAGCATGATTGTTGGTGCCAGACGGGTTAGTATGAGTATTTGTTTAACTGCTGATCTCCTGGGATTTTCACATTCAACAGTCTCTAGAGTTTACTCAGAATGGTGCGAAAAACAAAAATCATCCAGTGAGCAGCAGTTCTGTGGACAGAAACACCTTGTTGATGAGAGATGTTATAGGAGAATGGCCGCACTGGTTTGAGCTGACAGAAAGGCAGAGGTATGTCAGATGACCACTCTGGATAACTGTAGTGAGCAGAAAAACACCTTGGAATGCACAACACATAAAACCTTTAGTGGGATGGTCCACAACAGCTCCTGTGAGCCAAAATAGAAAGCTGAGGCTGCAGCGGGCACAGGCTCACCAAAACTGGACAGTTAAAGAAAACTTGGTTTAGCAAAAAGTTGAAAAACTTAGCCTGGTCTGATGAATCTTCTTGTTTGCTGAGGCACTCAGATGATAAGGTCAGAATTTGGCATCAAGAATATGAATCCATGGACCTGAACTTCCTTGTCTCAACATTCTAGGCTGCTGCTGGTGGTGGAAAGGTGTGTGGAATATTTTCTTTACACACTTTATGTGTGTTAATACCAACTGATCATCACTTCAAGGTCATAGCCTGGTTAAGCCCTTTCCCACTGCGGGAACTTTTTTCAGAACCTGGAACTTTTTTCCAGGACCCAGTAACTTCCCTTATGGAGCATGGCCTGACTGTAGTACTTCAGAAGTAGTTCCTTTTGAACGTTTTTTTATGGTGCTTTCCACTGGCATAAAGGAACCAAGACATACCTGATGGGTTCTGTGAAGAGACACTAATTACAGAGCGGTTCCTCGCTTTGGTTTTCCACTGCAGAAGGGTCTGCTCTGTAAGGCGATTCTGAGTTTGGAGAAGGACCATAATGTAAAACTGAAGAGATTCATATATATTGTCCATATGGTGTACATCCTGGCTTACTATGTGCAATTATTTTTTTACAGTGTGCTAATTTCCGCTAACTAGTACATCTATATGAATTGCCATGTTATGCAAGCATCAGACGTTGGAATTAGGATTCGCTTGTTTAGATTTGCATTACGAATCCACTCTGTTCTGCTGTTAGTATACTACTTTTTTAAGTAGGAGTTTGGAAATTTTTGAATTCCCGGTTATCATGAATGCATCAATACAACATAATGTGCCCTACTACTAATAATGAATAATATATAGAATATACCCTTTTTCCTTCAGATAATCCATGCGCAGAACAACGCTTTTTGACCAATTGGATAAAAATTGTAGTTGTAGTGGTGATGCAACTAGCTTGTAAGCTCATAAGCAGGGCCATGTCAGAACAGGTACAGCTCGCATAATTTACAAAGGAAAACTCCCCCCGTTTGTGGTACAGCTCGGGCATGACTAGGTTCTTTCTGACAGTGGAAAAGTGCCATTAGTGTCTTCACCAGGGTAAATACTTTTTGTTTGACCAGGAACTACTGGGGTGGGGCTTATAGTGATATACTTTGCTGATAGGTTGACCACAAGCACGAGATCCAACTTGGAAATTATGCAGAAGTCCAGGGAAAAGAGATAGGAGCAATGGAGCAGTTGGAATTATTTTTGTATTTCAGTTGCATTAAATGCATTATTAAATAGAGCATTTTTATCCTGCGGAAAACGTAGGATCGATGTGGTTGCCAGATTTAATTATTAAATTCTAAACATGTTGCTGGATGCGATTTGTCCCATATCTTTGGAAATTCCCCCCCCCCCCAAAAAAAAAAAATGAACAAATCACAAAAATGAACAAATCAGATATGTTCGTCCGCCATTGTTTTGGGATGCTGGTGTAGTTTCCTTGCTTATGAAATTTCCTGTTAAGTTTATCTCCCATGCTTATTTAGCATTAAGGTCAAAGTTTCTGTTGTATGTAAATTGCCAGGAACTACTAAAGTTCCCTGTTGAGAGAAGCCAGCACCTCAGAACCATGTTTCTGAATTTTGGTGGGAAAACACGTTTCTTTTTAGTTGCTGACCTTGTGCATCCCTTCATGGTCCCAGCTTGCCCCTCTTCTAATGGCTACTTCCAGCATGACAGTTCCACATGTCACAACGCAGAAGTCACAAACTGGTTTCATACAGAGCTCTCAAACTGTTCCTCAGTTACCTTCCCAGTCGCCGGATCTGGGTCTAGTACAACGCCTTTGGAATGTGGTAGAAAGGAAGATTGTGGTTGTGTAGCTCTCCACAAATTGCATGACAGTCATGTGAGCATGGATCAGAAACTCAAAATAATGTTTCAGACATGTTGCGTTGAATTGGAACTGTTTTGAGAGCAAAGGAAGACCCTACCCAGTATTAGTATAGTGTTTGTAATAAAGTGCTCAGTGAGTGTAAATACTTTATACTGTATATACATAAATTATGTGTAACTCAGGGATTCTGTGCCCATGTCCAGAGGGCTGGTGGGTCAAATCCCATGGCTAGCAGAATAATAATATGATAAAGATTTTTTAAGGTGGGGGTTATAAAGAGAGGCCATGAGTCTCATGAGATATAGAGTGGCAAATCTTACCATCAGCTAATGGTATACTTTGAATTGCTGTGTTACATGGAGGGAGTAATCCTGCGTCTGATTATCTCTTGGAAGTCGGATATTCTGAGGTGTGTGACGTCACGTCCGACCAATCTCCCGTTTGAGCTACACATCTTGGAACATGGCTGCTTCCATGAACACGCTGTTGTGTGTTGTTGCTTTATATTTTAGTAAATTTGGAGTGAGATTCTTTTTCCGAGAGACAAACAAACAAGAAACATGAACTACTCAAACCACAATAAAAGCTTTATAAAATATTTTAGTTGATCCATAGCGATATTCTTTTTTTTGAGAGACAAACAAACTACAAAAAAACCAAAGACACTAACAAGTCTGGTAAAAATCTGATACTGCATGCTAGGGTACTGTTTACGGTCATGATATGGTATTCTCTAAATCGACCATATGCAATTACATTTTAATACGTTTAACAAAATAAACATTTTTAAACATTTATAAATAGAATTACTGTTGACTGTGTAAGCCGCCATGTTGCAATGACGTCACAGGGGAATCTCGGACAACAAAATTCTGTCTGACATCAACATCAGAAAGGAGGTGTGTTTCCGACGGGAAGTGACGTTTTTTGTGACGTTTTTATCTGAGTTCTGACTTGGAGAGAGATAATTGAACGCAGGATAATCATGGGGCCAATCAGTAGCCTCTTCTGTATATATTCATGACTATGGTGCTCTTGAACAAGGTCCTTAACCCCAACTACTCCAGGAATCATGGCCTCCCAGCATGTGGCCCTTCGTACCACATGTTTCCTGCTCATTTACGCTCTGGGCCAAGTAACCAAAGCCCAGTTTTGCCATTTGATTTCTATGGTGATGCATTTAAAACTGCCAGAAAGTTTCTGGTATTTTCCTGGGTTGACTCTGTGTCAAATACTGTGTGAATAACATTTTACTTCGGGGAAAAGGCTTGTGATTTAATGAATCAATACTCCTGTCTATAAAACTACCTGGAAATCAGAATGTGCACATGTGGTGAGAGTATCACAGTACTAGTAAAAAGTTTGACATACCCGTTCATAGGTTTCTTTTCTACATTGTAGAACAATACTGAAGACATCTAAACTATGAAATAACACATATAGAATTATGTGGTAAACAAAAAAGTATTAAAAAAACAAAAAGTTTTATATTTTAGATTAACCAGTTGCACTGAACTTTGAATGTATTTTGAAGTATAGTTGCAAAAACAATCAAACACTGATGAAACTGGCTCTCATGAGGACCTACTACTTCGTAGACCGTATCCGTCGAAGGATGCAGCCCCTGGATGTGCACACAACCCAAGACTTACCTCTGCTGCAGGGGATAAGTTCATTGGAGTCTCAGAAATTGCCAACTAACAATAACTCAGATTAGAGCCTACATGAATGCTTCACAGAGTTGAAGGATCTCAACATCAACTGTTCAGAGGAGACTGCATGAAGCAGACCTCCATGGTCGAATGCTGCAAAGAAACCACTACTGAGAAAGGCTGATAAGAAAAAACAGACCAAGAGACACAAGGAATGGACATTATACCAGTTTAAATCTGTACTTCAGTGTGATGAGTCCAAATTTGAGATTTTGTTTTTAACTGTCTTGTCTTTTGTGAGACACAGAAAAGGGAAATGGATGGTATTTGCATGTGTGGTTCCCACCCTGAAGCATGGAGGAGGAGTTGTGATGGTGTGGGGGTGCTTTGCTGATGACACTGTTGACGATTTAGTCAAAGTTAAAGGCACCACTGAACCAACATCTCTACCACAACATTCTACAGTGACATGCCATCACATCTGGTTTGCAATTAGTGGGATCATCATTTGTTTTTCAACAGAATAATGACCCAAAACACACCTCCAGGCTATGTAAGGGCTATTTAACCAACAAGGAGAGCGAAAGAGTGCTACACCAGATTTCCTGGCCTCCACAATCACCCAACCTAAACCCAACTGAGATGGTTTGGGATGAGTTGGACTGCAGAATTTGAGAAAAGCAGCCAACAATTGCTCAACATATATGGACTTTTGGAAAACCATTCTAGGTGACTACCCCATCAAACTGGTTGACAGACAGCTAAGAGTATGCAATGCTGTCATCAAAGCAAAAGGTGGTTACATTGAATCTAAAATATGACATTTTGCTTTATTTACACTTTTTTGCATACTAGATAATTCCATATGTGTTATTTCATAGTTTTGATACCTTCAGCATCTTTCTACAATTTAGAAAAGAATAAAAATAAAGAGAAACCACTGAACAGTTTCTGTGCATATACATTATATGGACAGAAGTACTGGGACACCTGACCATTACATCTACAGGAACTTTTATGAAATCCCATTCTAAATCCATAGACATCAATATGGTCCATAAAGACATGGTTGGATAAGTTTGGTGTGGAAGAACCTGACTGACCTGCACAGAGCCTTGACCCCAACCCCACGGAACATCTTTGCAATGAACTAGAATGGAGATTGTGAGCCATGCCTTCACGTCCAAGATCAGTGCCTGTCCTCACAAATGCTCTTCTAGATGAATGTGCAAAAATTCCCACAAACATACTCCTTTTTTTTTTTTTTTTTTTTTTTTTTTTCTTGTTTTAAGAACTTCAGCACTTTTTAATTTTGTTTTGTCTTTCAATAAAACCTGCAGCATCAGATCTGGCCAGTTCTGATCTGCTTGCCATTTTGCCTAAAGAACAAATGCTGTTGTTACAGGAACGTCTAACATCAACATTTGCAGCCATTAATTCATAGGTGGTAGTAACACTGAAATGACCCTTTCTATGTCAAAATAAAGTAACACTGTGCTTTTTTTTTTTTTTTTTTATTCCCTCCTCCACCCCCCCTCTGCGGGGGACTGTATCTATTATTATTATTATTATTTTTTTTTTTTTTTTAATCATTATTTATTTATTTTTTTTTTATTTAATTTTATATTTTTATTTACTTCCTCAAAAGAAGGAGAGGGAGGGGGGGGACACTCCTAAATCTTATGGAATGCCCTCCTAGAAGAGTGGCAGCTGTTATGGCTACAAAGGGGGGAGCAACTCCATATTGATTCCTATGGATTTAGTATGGTATGTCATAAAGGTTTCTGTAGGTGTAATTCCCAG